ATGTTTCTCACACATACACAAAACACAGAATCTCCAATAGCCAAATTACTTCCACAAAGAACTGGTCTTTGTGCAACATATTTCCATAGAAATCCTATTCATGTCCCAGACAGTCTTGGGATGAGCCACGGAATATCCCTGCTATAGACCTTGCCTTTCCAGGCCTTTCTATTGATCCAGAGTCCAGCAATGCCTCAGCAGGACTCCTAAGCCTAGTGGCAGTGAGCACTGGGGTGGTTAAGTCTTCAATGATTTGGAGAGAAACATTTTAACCCCATTGCACAAACTGTATTCTTGAATTCTCAACTCACCTAGAACTAATTCACTGTCTTTGTACTAGGTTTTAAAGAAACGGAGCCTGCAGGAAGGGGTGAAGCTAAAGAAGGCTCAAGAACAAAGTAAATATCTGCAGAAGTTTCACCAGCTGTAGAACCAAGCTCATGTAGTAAGTAATAGATTCTATAAGAAACAAGAACTCATTCTTTATTTTTATTTTTCATTATTCTTTAAGTTCTGGGGTCCATGTGCAGAACATGCAGGTTTGTTACATAGGTATACACGTGCCATGGTGGTTTGCTGCATCCATCACCCTGTCATCTACATTAGGTATTTCTCCTAATTTCGTATACCCAAGAAAGAGAAAAGAAGAAAAATATTTTCCCAGCAAAATATTAGGTAAGAAAAAAAACAGATCAAAACCTTTATAAGCAGTTTCTTTCCCACCTTTCCCAGATGCCCTCCAGCCCACCCCACTACCTCTCCTATATGTCTGAGCAAAGTCCAAGGCCTGCAACAGTGTGGACAGGCAACACAACAACACAATACCCTCACAAAGTGTTTAGTGTCTCACTAGTTAGGGGAGAGTCTGCCACAGAGCTCAGATCATTTAGACTTTACCTAAACAGGGTAGGAGGTGGAGGGGGTTGAAAAGAATCAATAATTTGTGAACGATTGTTCACTTCTTCACATAGAGCCTGAGCTTCAGAAAGGTAGAAAGAGAATGACCTTTGGCTGAGAAATAAGTGACAGTTAATTATTAAAACTACCAGTTACCATTTGCCTCCCAACCTTTGTGGCCTAGATTCCAGTAATGAGAGGATCCAGAACCATTTGAAAGTATTCATGTATCAATGAACAGCCCAAGTAGAGAAGAGATGTGTATAGCCAACATCTCCATGCCCCAGGATCCCAAGTTTGGAGGTCTTTGTTTCGTTCTCAAAGGACAGCTGTGCTAATTCTTTCAATTATCACTGCCAAGTTCTCTTTAGCCATGGTAAGGTCTCCCTGAACTCTGGCCTTGTGGTCTGAAGGATAAATCCTTAGAGTATGTATGTTCCCTTCTCTCATGCTGATTGGAACAGTAGTTTTCAGAACAACGATAATGTGCTCTACCTTTTCCCCTCCCTTCCCCTTCTCTCCCTGCCTTCCTCTTCTCTCCCACCCTCCCTCCCTTCCTCTTCTCTCCCACCCTCCCTCCCTTCCTCTTCTTTCCCTCCCTCCCTTCCTCTTCTTTCCCTCCCTCCCTCCCTTCCTTCCTCCCTCCCTTTTTTCCTTCCTCCCTTCCTTCCTTCCTTCCTAGTATTTTCTGAATACTCACTATGAGCATTGCTAAGTGCAGAAGTTAGTGCATAAGAAGAAATGTATGACCAAATCTCTGGTTTCCAGAAACTCGTAATTTATCAGCCACTATGAGTTAACCAGAAATTCCCATTAGAAGTTCTTGCCATGGCTTTCATCACACTAAATCCCTTTTTCATCTGTCTTTGTAGATATGCAAGAACCTCTCCATCTTTTCCTAAGAGCTAAAACATCTCATTTAGAGTAGTTTTTTCTCTTTGTCAGGCTCTTCATAGTGTCATTGGCTGTGAATTCTGTTTCACCCACATGCAAAGGGTGATGCTGAGGACTCAGAGTACACCGGATGCTTAGGGTGGAAATGTGTGATTGCTCTCTTTTCCCACAATACCAGTTTCAAGACATGATTGGACAGTCCTATCCTCACTATGCCAGATACCTTCCTTTGAGAATTATTTCTTGTTTGCATGTCTTCCTTTCATTGCATTATCCACGAGGCTTCCCTAATGTCCCCTGTACTCAGGCCCAACCTTATTCAGCACCCTCACTTTCAGCAGATTGTATCACCTTCTCTTTTACAGTGATCTAAGGAGCCTTTTCACTCACAACCCAAAACCCCATAGCTTAGCCCTCTGTCTGGTCTAATATCCTCTGGGAAAAAAAAGTGTCCCTACTGCTGCGCACATTCTGGAGCTAAGCACAAACACCATCACAAATAATTTCTTCTTCATGTGATACAGTCTGAAGAGGATGTGGAAAGTACTGATATTTCATAAGTAATGCTATGGAGTCAGTATCATCTGGTGAAAAAATTCACTCAACTGCTGATTCTGGAAATATTATTCTCTACAGTCTTAGCTTTAACAGTTTAAGTTTAACCAGGTTCCTTTCTATTCTCAAGTTTAAAACCTTCCTATTATAAACCAATAAAGGTGTATCAGTGTCTACCTAGCATAATTTACATTTGATAGGTACTCAACACATTTCTTATGGAAACAGATATCTCCTTGGTACAACCACATTTTGCTTATTTTCTAAAAAATATTTTTGGCATTTAAAAATAAAAGATATATATCTATCATTATTATTGCAATTTTATGACTAAAGTCACAGTGGTTCTTACTTAGAGATTATTGCTCCTTCCTCTTCTCAATACATCAGAATTCCTTCCACTATTGTCATGAGAATTTGGAATTGTGGTAAAAATTTGGAGGTCAATCACAGTAGATTCCTAGGAAAATATTTTAAAACTCTCAAAATTCAACAGTAAAAAAACAAACAATCTAATTGAAAATACACAAAAACAACACACTAACTGTGGAATATTGATCAGCAATAAAAATGAATGAACTATTGATGTATGCAACAACTTGAATGGCTCTTACTTAAGAGTTTATTTTTCTTCATCTAGCTTTTTAAGATGGAAAGACAGATCACTGATTTTATCCCATTCCTCTAATCTTATATAAAAACACAGTGCTATGATTTCTCCCTAAGCTCTACTTTGACAGCATCATGCTTTGTCTTCAAGTTAAATGACCTTTTCTTCTGTAAGTTCTAGTCTGCTCTTAATCTTACTGGTGAAATTTTTATTGCAGATATTTTCTTTGATTTCTAGAAGTTACATTTGGTTCTTTTTCAGCACTCATCCCTCCCCTCATTACATCCATATTTTCTCTTAATCTTGAACAAGTTTGTACTGTTTGTAATTGTTTTGGCATCTCTGTCTGCTAACTCCATCATCTCTTTAATTCTGTCTCTATTTTTTTTTTGACTGACTTTTCTTCTAACTATAGGTGACATACTTCTGCTTCTTCATATATCTGGCAGTTTTTTAGTAAATGTTGGAGATTTTTAATTTTATGTGTGGAGAGCTGCATTTTTTCCATATTTATTTTTAAAGAGTATTGAACTGCATTCTGTTAGGTATTTAAATTACTTGTAAATAAGCTTGGTCCTATTGAACTTTCTTCCTAAGTTTGATATGGCATTTCTCACCGCCCTTTACTTCAGTGTTAGAGTTGTCCTACTGCCAAGGTGTGGCCTTATTGAGATCTCAGTCGAGGGCCCACAGGATTCGGTGAACCATCTCTATTCTAGCTGGTTACAACATCCCCCAGGCAAGTGTAAATTTAATAATCTCTGTTTATCCTGTATTTTCCCACAATTGTTCTCTGCCAGCCTTACAGCAGCTGGCCCAGTGTACACATAGTTTAGTATTCCGTTGAAGACATAGGGGGTACGTATGCAAATTTCTGGAACTCTTATTTTGTGCAGCTTCCTATTTTCCATGCTCTGCCTCATAATTTCCAGTTATATTGCCAGTGTGATCCACCTGGCAGGTTTCTTTAGTATAGGTTGACTTCACCAACACCAAATTCCTGCAACATGGTCAGCTTCACCAACATCCAGCTCCTGCAGTATACAGTAATTAATAGCACCAAGTTTCCCTCAGCATCCCTCTTTGCATGGTGGAGTGCCTCTAGCAAGACATATTCTTCTGAATAGTTTTCCCCAGGCTGGTCTCAAACTCCAGGGCTCAAGAGATCCACCACTTGCACCCCCCAAAGTGCTGGGATTACAGACATGAGCCACTATGCCAGCCTGTGCCCTCTGTAATACAGTCTGGGTATAAGTCTTTCTATAGGTAGGGTTGCCTCTTCCTTGGGAACATGTCAGCTTTTTAATGTTTATCTTTATTAATTTTTCCTTAATGCACACATGAAGTTTCCGGATAAAAGATGATTTCTTGATAAAAGATGATTTCTTACCATGTTCACTGTACAATCAATAGCCTAAATGACCTGCAGTATTAGTCTCTCCACTCCCAAAATCCTATATTATAAGACCCAAACAGAAAAAAAAAAAACATTTGATGCACAAGTGGCAGAATTACTCTCCAACAGAGAGAACATGACAAGCTGTATCTATCAAAAAACACACCTGAGAAAATCCTTAGACAAGACTTCATACTCAATAGGTGTTTACACATTCAGTCATGCAAAGGTATATTAAGCACTTACTTTTCGGCAGACTAGTATTCAACAGGGCAATGGGCATACAGGTGAATAAAACACCTGCCCAACTAACACTTTTGGCTTTTTCAGGTTTGTGTGTCTCTGTCAGACTCTTCTCTTTCCCGTATCAACTTTCTTCATCTCTTGCAGACACCAGTTGACCCAATGCCACAAAAAGTTAATTAAATATCACCTCTCTATGAATGTTTTCTGACCTTCTAAATAGATTCCTTTTCTGAACATCACCGCTGACCCCAAACAACAATCCTGTGCATGTGCCTTTAGCAAGTTTTTGTTTCTTGTTATTTTTTCTGCCTTCCCACTAGACTGTGAATAACATAAAACAGAATCCCTGTATTACTCATTATTACAGTCCCAGAGATAGTTAATTGCTTGACACATGGTGCATTAAAAAGGTACATAGATTTAATAAGTAAGTGATATTATGAGCATAGCATTTTTCTGGTGAATAAAATGGCTTAACAAAAAACATATTAAAAGAATGAAAGTATTTGAAATGTACAAAAGAAGAAAAATAAAGGAGTATGGGTACAGTGAGACATTGGGGAGTAATTAAGATGATAATAACAACAAAAAAACAATTGAGATAGTGAAAATAACTGCCACATTAGCTATCAATATAAGCATTTTGCATAGACAATAAAAGCAGCAATAAAATGACTCACTCTTTCTAATTCATCCTCCAGGAGGGATCTGTGATCAAATAGACCTACCCATTCTTATACTATTGCACTTTGCCTGTAGATGCTCCTTTCTCTAGTGAGTCTAAATCCATGCAAAGTATGTAAAACAACTAACACTAGTGGGGATTTATTCATCCATGAAGTGTTGGAGGAGCAGCAACGATTTGGAAACACTTAGGGAATACAGGAAGGGATGGAGGAAGACAGGAAAACTTTCAATAAAGACCACGCTTGCCCTCTGATATCCCCTATAACCCATTATTCCTCAACCTCCAAGCTGAGAATCACCCATACCTTCCATATTCTCTAACTAGTATAAGAATAGCAATGCCCGTATAGGCAAAACTGGACCAGGCCAAAGAACCCTTCTTCAAGAAGATGTAAGGATACTGTGGAAGTAAATGATCTATGAAGAAAGAAAGTTGGATCTGGTCTCATATGTCTGCTTGGATTTGAGGGAAGAAATACTTATGCCAGAGTAAATTCTTTAAGAATACGATGAAAAAGTCACATTAACACTTACATTAAAAATGTGGTGGATAATTTCGAAAAAGTTTAAAAACCCTCTGACACCCACCAAGGCATCCCCTAAAAACTATGAACCCCAGGTTTAGACACCTTTTGAGAAGGATATGTGGCTGGCCAGTAGGGAGACCCTGCTATCAGCTATGATGTTATCCGAGTGGGACAGCCAAATCAAGGGGACACTGTGGAGTGACCCTTCACCTCCAGTTTGTGATCTCCTCACAGAAGGATCTGTAGAAAAAAGAGAAGTTCACAGGTCACCTAGAAGATACTTAACCCTATTTCTGTGGTCAGGAACAGAAAAATAAAACTGGGAAGTAAGAGATAGGAACTGACTTGAGGATGGAAAAACAATAGATGTCCTGAGTGTGTGAAAGCAGATGTTTCCATACCTGTGTCTCTTAGGAAGTATCTTCCAGCTCTGTCTCAGGGTAAAGATAAACTCTGGTGGGAAGAGTCATAAAACAAAATATTCCCACAATGTTTCCCATGGACAATATACAATAATGTAGCATAGTTATGCTTATTTTACAAACACATATCTGGAGAAGCATGAAGTTTGCACAGTTTGCCAAGAGAATGGAAGTTAATGGTATTTACCTTGGACTCTAGAATTAGTACAACCAATATCTAAGACAACTTCAATGTCATCGAAGCTACTACATATAAATTAAAAATCTAAAAAGCTACCATAGGTTGAAAACAGATGAGTCTTTATGAAAAGTGCATCTGGATAAAAACATAGTTTTAGAGAAAAGCCACCAGTATGTCTTCTTTCTGCTTATCCCCAGGGAACAGCAGAGATTTCTGCCTTGATTGCACAGATGGAAAAGAATACACTTAGAAATGAACTCTATTTGAGGAGCAAATATAGCTGGATAATAAAAGAAGAGACTTTTTTCAAAACTGTTCATTTTTCAATCAGTAAGAATTAAGATATCATCATAAAATGACTATCACCTGGAATATTATTTGACTCCTGAGAATGAAAGCTTCCTTTTTTATATAAGCAGAGAGAAATAAAAGTTGGTGTCTCTGAAGCTTATTTTCCTAAAATCCCTGCCACCTATGTTCCCACTGCCTATTCTCCACTTCCCTTAACCAGACTAGGTCAAAGATTTGACTGTCAGAGAGTTGAAGTAAAATGCAAGCCAAAAAGCTTTCAAAACTGAAATCTTCAACCACAGAAACAAGTAGTCTTAATCCAGCTTGGAGTGATTCTTGTATCTGGTAACAAAATTCACCAGAGCAGAAATCCTGCTTTCTGCCATCTCTAGAACATAAAAAAGAAAAGCATTTCTAATTCTCTGACAGTATTCTCAACAAATATTACATTTGACGAATGTGTGTATTGTGGCATGTTTGCAAGTAGACACACTCACTGGGCTAACAGTCTCTTGATGAAATTATCCAATCTGTTAAATATTTCTGCCCACAATTCTGCATAGGGCATCCTTGAACTCCTTGTTTCTCAGACTGTAAACAACAGGGTTGAGAAGGGGAGTGATGATGGTATATGTCATGGAAAGAAGAAGGTCTTTTTCTAATGAACTTTCTGACTTGGGCTTGAGGTAGGCAATGGAGGCACAGCCATAGTGGACAATGACCACAGTGAGGTGGGAGGCACAGGTGGCGAAGGTCTTCTTCCAGCCCTCGGATGAGGCAATTTTAAGGATGGAAGAGATGATGAGGACATAGGAGATAAATATTAGGCCTATGGGCATGAAAATCACAAATGAACTTACACCATAATTGATTATCTCATTGATAGTGGTATCAGTGCAAGAAAGTTTCATGACTGGGTAAATATCACAAAAGAAGTGGTCCACTACTATGCCACAGAAGGGCAAATTGAACATGGCTGTCACATGGAGAACTGCCATAGCCAGACCAGTGCCAAAGGACCCACACACCAGCTGGGCATACAGTCCCTTGCTCATGATGACAGTGTACCTCAGGGGCCTGCAGATGGCTACATAGCGGTCATAACCCATTGCAGTAAGCAGGAAGCAATTATTAGTGGCCAAGATAACAAAAAAGAACATTTGGGTTGCACAGCCTGCCAAGGAGATAGGCTGGTTATGAAAAATGAGGCTGGAAAGCATTCGTGGCACAATGACCAGTGTGTACACCGTCTCTGAACTGGCCAGCATGCTTAGGAAGAAATACATAGGAGTGTGGAGATGATGGTCAATGTGGATGATAGTCACAGTGATGATGTTACCAGCCAGAGTTAAAATGTAGACAGTTAGGAAAACCACAAAGAGGGTTATCTGATGCTTTCCAAAGCTAGAGAATCCCAAGAAGACGAATTCTGTCACTTCTGTGAAGTTCTTTCTCTGCATTCTGCTATATCAGTGTCTGAAAGCAATAAATGGAGTCAACAAGGAGTAAATTCTCAGCAGCAATTGGACTTTAAAACAAAGAACACTGATAATTGTACTGAGATTGGATTGAATTCCCTTCTTTTTAATCAGAATGCTCATGCAGGGTCCTCTCACATGAAGAGAGAAGCCTACTTGTGCCTCTTTGGGGCTTTATACGTATGAACATTGTTACTGTAGAGCAAACTACTTCCTGTGCATGGAGAGGACTTCTGCCTGTATGCTCACCTCACAGGTATTAGAGTGATGTTAGGAAGGGAAAAGGACAGCAAGGAGAAAGCCATGCTCTATATTTCAACCGATAGCAATACCCAGTCTTTAAACCCTCTTAACAAGGAGGACTCTGGTGAAGTGCCTGTCAAGAAAACCATAAAGATGAAAGTCTTGTGAAAAAAAATAATATAGTAGTTCGAAATATTTGAAGATGGAAAATTTTGTGAAGTGGCCACTGGGTTTCATAACAAGGTCACTGAGGAGCTTTTACACAGCATTTCAGTTGAATTATGAATATAGAAACTTGATTTTGGAGAGGTGATGTGGTCCAAATATGTTATTATACTCTCAAAACAGAACAACTGCAACATGACTTCTGCCGTTATCTCTCCACTAAAATTGATGACTCAAGCCCTACCAAAGAAATCTTTTTTTTTCTTTTTTTCTTTTTTGCTGATTCCAGTAGGCCTTTTGAGTGAAGTCAGGAAGACAGAGCTGTGACAAAAAACATTGTGTAGTTGCCACTGTCATCATAAAGGACTGGACAACTTGAGGTATAGGAATGACTCCAGAGATGAGAGAGAAATCTGCAGCTATCTGAAGCCCAACTAGCTTATCTATTTTTTAAAAGATGGTGAACAGACAATTCTGAGAAGCAGAGGCACTTGTCCCTTTTGTCAAAAAGCAAGCATATATAAAATGTATGGAGAGCATACAACCGGTCCTGTGGTTCTCTTTAGTGACCATCTTATTGTTCTCCCTTTATTTTCAGAAGTATTAAAGCAGCCTTTCTCTCCCACTCCCCATTTTTCCCTGCAGGTTGGCTTTGGCATGTTCATGCCCATGAGATTGTTTGCTCAAATGTCACCAAATAATTCTCCATTGCTAAAGCCACTGGACTTTGCTTTTTCTTCTTTTTCTCATCTTTGTCTGCTTTGACACTTCAAACTCCTACCTCATGGAAACATTCTCTGACCTTGGTTTCCATGACACCACACTGCTTTTCTCTCTTCTCTGCACTTATTTCATTACCTTCCATGAATCTCCTCTTTCTCCCTCTACCATAATTATGTATGCTCTTCTCTGGTCGATCCTTGGCCCTTGTGTGTGTGTTTTTTTTGCATTCTTCCTCTCAAATTTTTCTGTTATCATTTCTATGATGATTGCTCTCAAATCTCTATTTTCATCACCAGTCTTTTTCCCAAGCCTCCATTTACCTCTCTCTTGACTTCTCTATTAATGTATCTTGCAATCATAATAAATTTCATATTTTTGAAAGTAAACTAAACATTAACCCTTTTTATATTCATAAAAAGCTCTCCATTTCAATTTTTCTGTCTTTTTTAATGAGCTTGTCATTATTCCTGTCAATTAATGGGTCAACATTTTAGAGCCATCTCTATTTTGACATCACATTCAGTGGCCTTTTTCTTTAAAGTTATGTCTTCTGTTTGTATAATTTCTGAATTCACAATGACCCACTCAAGACCAGGGTACCAAATTATCTAGCCAGAACAATAAAACATATTCCCATTCTAAAATGTATATGCATCTGCAGAAGACCAAGAATGCTAAAACAATTTTAGGAAAGGAACACAAAGTTGAAAAACTTACACTACTTCATTTGAAGACTACGGTAATCAAGATAGTATGCTATCGATGCAAGTGCAGGTAGCAGAATAAAATGGAGAGTCCAAAAGTGGACTCACATATATACGGCCACTGATTTCTGATAATGTGCTAAGGTATCTCAGTGACAGTCTTTTCAACAAATGTTGCTAGATCACATAAATGTCTGTATGGGAAAAATAAGCCTCAAACCTTAGATCATGTCATACACACACAAAAAATATTTAGAATGAATCATAGATATGTATATAAAAGATAAAGCTATACAAATTCCAGACAAAAAATAAGGAATAAAATCTTCAATACCTTGAAATGAGCAAAGATTTCTTAGATATAAAACAAAAAGCATAATCCATAAAAGAACAAAATCACATACTTTATCAAAATCAAAAGCTTCTAATCTTCAAAAGATATCATTAGAAAAATGAAAATGCTTAGGCAGTCACAATGGCTCACATCTGTAATCCCAGCACTTTGGGAGGGCGAGAAAAGCTAATCACTTGAGGCCATGAGTTTGACACCAGGCTGGTCAACATGGCAAAATCTTGTCTCCACTAAAAATACAAAAATTAGCCTGGTATGGTGGCACACACCTGTAATCCCAGCTACTCGGGAGGCTGAGGCACGAAAATTGCTTGAGCTTGGGAGGCAGAGGTTGTGGTGAGCCAAGATCGTACCACCACACTTCAGCCTGGGTGACAGAGTGAGACCATCTCAAAAAAAGGGGGGGAGGAAACAAAGAAAAGATAAATGAAAAGGAAAACCACAAGCTAGGAGGAAATATTTACAACACATATGTCTAAAATTGTAACCAGCATATATAAAGGATCCTTATAACTCAATAATAAGACACATTTTTCATGGACAAAATGTTTGAACAGACATTTCACAAAATAAGATATATAAATGTTCAGGATACATGGGAAAGAATGCTCAACATCATTAGCCATTAAAAAATTTGTAAAATAAAACCACAACGAGATACCACAATACACCCATTTGAATGGCTAATATTTAAAAGCCTAACAACAAATAATTTTGGAAAGGAAGTAAAGGAATTGAAACTTAAACATTGCTGATGGAAATGTAAAATAGAATCACCAAGTGGGAGAACAATTTGGCAGTTTTTTAGAAAGTTAAATATGTACTTACTCCATAACTCAGTAATTTTTTTCTACATGTTGACACAATAGGAATGAAAATATTTGTTCACACAGAGACAGGTATTCGTGAATGGCCCTATTAGCTTTCTTCCTAATTGTAAAAAAACTGCAAATAACCCAAAAATCCAAGTTATAATGAATCCATATAATACAACACTGCTCAGCAATAAGAGAAACAAATTTCTAATACAAACAGCAACATGGCTGAATCTTTAAAACAGTATCCTGAATCAACTTGACACAAAAGAGTTAATACTGTATAATTCTATTTATATGATACTCTAGAAATACAAACCTAATTTATACTGACAAAAAAAGTGGTTGCCAGAATTGCTGGGGAATTGACTGAAAAAGAACACAAGGAACTTATTGGGGTAAAAGAAATGTTATTAATTGTGAGGGTGATAATACAGGGTGTATAAATTTGTCAAAACTCACCAAAACATATATCAAAAATTGGTAGACTTTGTTATGTTATATTTTAATTGTATTGCATTGTATTATATTATGTCATGTAATATATCATACTGTATTATACTTCATCAAAGTTGATTCATTTGGACACAAATAAGATTTTAACCCTATGAATCTGTCTCTGCTAGACTTATCATCCTTTAGGTGGTTTTTATGATGAAAAAAAAAAATTTGGAATTGGCTGGGACTTGAGAAATCTGGAAGCTGATCTGGAGTCTGTCAATGTCAAAACATGTGGTCTGGGGCAAATATGTCTCCACGGCCTCAAATGCAAAATAAGGAGCTTAAACAAGATTGTCTCTAAGTTCTAATATACTAATCATATATCACTTCTCTGGTCTGGTAAGCACATCTCTGCTGGGCTGATAAGGCACTGCCCTATCAGACTGTTCTTACATAGCCAATCTGCCATCTTCACTATCTCCTCCACTGTAAAAAGCACCCTTCCCAGGACCTAGGAATATTCCAATACCCATTGTCAAAGCCATGCCTGTGTTCATATTTTTCTTCTTGCCTGGGCTGTTCTCCACTCCCTGTTGCTCACCCAGATTTCAAGTCCTCTGTGCCTGGAAGCACATCCCCATCATTACCAATACATTCTCAACATAAAACCCCCAATGAAATTACATTCTTATTCTTAGCTTAAATACAGAATTTTTAAAAAACTAAACTAGAATAGATTTATTTTTAATGTTTTAAAATTGTTTCTTAGGAGTATTTTAAGACTCAGCTCATTGCCTGGCATCTTCATGAAATCATCTCACACAACACTGTTTCTCACTTCTCTTTCTTTCATAAAGCCTATACCCAATGATGTACTGAAGGCAGCTTACACCAGCTCACCAGAGAATATTGCTAACATTCTTTCTCCGCTCCATATTCTGTAGTATCACGTGGGGAGATTAAAATCTGCTATAGAGAAATAGCATTAACTCAGAAATGGACAACCAGTATCAGGACTATTTTTTTTTTTCCTGGAGAACTGAATGTTAAACATCTACCAACATACCACTGCCTTCATCCTTATACCATATACTGTGGCCCAGTCCATGTTATTTTGCATTGTTGTCTATTATCTCCCATGTGTCAATCTTATTTCCCAAATTAGATTGCAAACACTTTGAAAGAATGTGCCAGGACTTCTAAATCTTCTCAATCCTTCACACAATTTACTCAGATAATCCTTCAATATGTACTAGGTGATTGAAGAGTATGAAGAATCTAGAATTCTTATCGCACTGTAATCGGAGCTCAATTTACCAAGGAGACAGAGTTACCTACCCATGAAAATAGTGGGACTCAAACAATAAGGGATGCTTTTGTGTAGCATCTTGGAGTAAATCTCAGTGTTTTTCTTCTCAATCCTTCTTTGTACTTTTCCACATGACTCAGAATGAGATGACAGTGAAAACCTAGAGCAACCGTGGGAAGAGAAAAAAAAATGTTGCATGGGAGAGAGGGCGTCAGTTGTAACTTAGTGACCAGTGATGTTGGAGCCTAGGAGGGATGAGTTCTGAGTTGTCAATAGGTGTCAGGTCTTATTAGTTGACATTACCACCTCCTTATCTCTGCTAGTTGGTGAATGTGTCCACCATCCAGATTGAGAGATTAGACTAAGGCATAGTATTAACAAAGTATCCCTATGCACCAACATTTCCACTATTCCTGGATCCTTTCTTTTATTATTATTGTGTAGATTTTAATATGATTAATTCTTGAATCAATCCTCAGCTCTACCACCTAACTAACTATGAAGCCTCGAGCTACTTGTTTAGCCTCGCCAACCTTCATTCTCATCTGTAAATGGGGCAACAAAAGTACTGACCTCAGAGTAATAGTGTCAGGATTCAATTACGTAATTCATTCAAAGCTCTTAGCGCAAGGTAGATGCTCAACAGTTGGTATCTCTTAAAATTATCCTTGGTATTGCTCTGTAATAGGAAGAAGGTATTCAAGAATTTTTTAAAAGTCAAAAAAAAAAAAAAAAAGAGAGAAGAAACCAGTATGAGACAATAAAAGATGAGAGTGTGAAAAAGAGAGAGAGAGAGACGGATGTGTAGATCATCCTCTTGGGAAAATAAGAGCACTGGAACAGACTGATGGCAGCAAATGTTTTCGTCATGAAGATGATATGCCAAATAAAAAAGAAAAGAGGGTATAGAAAAGTCTGAAGATGTAATAAGATAGAAAGAAGCTGTTATATAATTTGTTGATACCTATGAAAAAGTATGTGTCATTTATTTAAATCTGAATGAACCTGTGAGAGAAAATGAAAGAATTTAAAATCTTTAATTTATCTCCTGAAAATTGATGTTTCATGTAGATAACTACTAAAGAAAACAAACAAACAAAACTCTATAACTTCTTCTCCAGATACCTTGAAACACAAGCAAATTCTAAAATGCCAGGGAGGGATAAAGTGACCTCTTGAAACATCTGTGATTATAACAGCTATCTGAAGAATCCAAAGGAAGAAAAATCCTTGTTCATAAGATGAATGTGAGAGAGGCTCTGTAAAGCTGTGCTTTTAGAACTTGAGCCCAGTGGCATATATGTGATGTTTGCCACCCAGAATTCTAGATCCTAGCCCAGGATGGGTGCAGGAACAAGTAGGACTGGAGACTGCCTGAGCTGAGAAGGACACAAAGGTATCCCCAGCACCTCTTAAATCTGGTCTGACATTATCTATAAAAAATAAACAAACAAGCAGAAAAACTGGTTCTTTTTCAAAGATATATAATCTTACAATTACTTAGTTCCCTAAATAGATTGTAGCTTAGAGAAAGAATGGCATGTGACATCCTCATAGGTCTCCCAGGCTCTGAAAGCTATGTCTATAGGAGGAGAAAAAGAAGCTCATATAAACTCAGAGATCAGAAAGAAAATCTCAAAGGAAAAGCCACGTTGTCTACACCTCCTCTTCTGGGTCTCTTTTTCTCAGTACGTTCTGAGTATCTCAAGGGAAGCAATAAAGTTAGACTCCAGACAGATACCTAGGGGACTTATTAAAAATGGGAATTTTTAATTTTCCCAGTAGTTGGTACTTTGAGATTTCTGGAGCCATTCTGTTAGATGGTTTATATTCCCTTATTTTTGACTACATTGAGGGAGATGTCATAGATATGGTGCAAGAATTTTTGTCCTTAAAAGATGGTGGACTCCTATTCAACAGAGTATTAGAAGTTCTGGCCATGGGAATTGGGCAAAAGAAAGATGTTCAAACAGGAAAAGAGGAAATCAGACTGTCTCTGTTTGCAGACGACTTGATCCTATATCTAGAATCCCCCAATTTCTCAACCCAAAAGCTACTTAAGTTGATAAGCAACTTCAGCAAAGTCTCAGGATAGAAAATTAATGTGCAAATTCCTATACACACAACAATAGACAAGCAGAAAGACAAATCATGAATGAACTCCCATTTACAATTGCTGCAAAGAGAATAAAATACCTAGGAATAGAGCTAACAAGGGAAGTGAAGGGCCTCTTCAAGGATAACTATAAACCTCTATTCAATGAAATCAGAGAGAACACAAACAAATGGAAAAACATTCTTCCAATAGGAAGAATCAATATCATGAAAATGGCCATACTGCCCTAAGTAATTTATAGATTCAATTCTACCCCCATTAAACGACCATTGACATTCTTCACAGAATTAGAAAAAACTACTTTAAAATTCATATGGAACCAAAAAAGAGCTCGTATTACCAAGACAATCCTAAGCAAAAAGAACAAACCTGGAGACAACACACTACCTGACTTCAAACTGTACTGCAAGGCTACAGAAAACCGAACAGCATGGTACTGGTACAAAAGCAGACACATAAACCAATGGAACAGAATAGAGAT